TCCGTCATCCAGACCTAAGGGTTCATAATCCCAACGCTGCCGCCGTTTTACACATGTGGAGCACTGGCACTTTGAAAATAGTAGGATTGGTGGATATTCTTTTGGGCTCATGCTTTGAAGAAACACCTGTTTCATCTCAGCCTACATTCTGATTCCGCAGATGCAGGAAGCAAATTGCAAGGTCAGTTTGCACATATGAGAGCCCAACATTCTCAACATAGAAGAGGTCAATAGATCTGCCTTGACACATCTGGTGCAGATTGGCATTGTTGATGGGGGGATTCTGGGATTTGTAGTGTGTTTTTTTTAAAAAGGGAATGTATCCAAAAGCTACCCTATTATATTAGGTGTTGATGGGGGGATTCTGGGATTTGTAGTTTTTTTTTTTAAAAAAGGGGATGTATCCAAAATCTGCCCTAGTATATTAGGAGGGGTGTGTGTGTGTGTGTGTGTGTGTGTGTGTGTGTGTGTGTGTGTGCAGCCAACTCAATACATATGGATGTGGATATTATTTATTTATTTATTACCTTTTAATATCATGCATATATTTTTCTTTACCAGTTACCTAATTTATTGGCCCATCAGAAAGATTTCAGTGGACAGTAACTGTATCAACTGTTAATTTAAGGCACATTACGGGAGCCTAAGTACATTGCCTGGCCATTTCAATACTCCTCAGTTGCACAGAGACGTCTCTGTAGCAACTGGTTTGCATTTTGCGGCCTATTTTTCAAAGTTTTCCGGCAAAAAGAGAGCGACGTTGCCAGCTGAAGCCTCTTTTGATATAAATGGGGATTTCCACTTAAAAACCGATCTGTCTTTGGACAGCCCCAACAGTTGGAAAGCTTTCTAATAGAGTTGCAAAGAGCTTTTATGATCTTAGATTTGTCACAGTCGCACGTCTGGTGAACACGCCTTGTGTGCGCCAGAAAAAGAGAACTGCTTGGCATTCTGTCCTCAGTAGATTTTTCTGGAGGAAAGAACCACTGGTCTGTTTTTTTGGCTGCGCTAGCTACCGCCACGCACGATCCAAGGGAAGCAAGACTGAATAAATCCACCGGCAGTTTTTCTTTTTGGGTTGATGTAGGGATGACCGGAGATATTTTCACAGCTGAAACGAATAGGATTTCCTGACCTCACCAGTGGAGGCAGGAAATGGTGCTTCGACCCCTGAAGAGTGGCTGCCAGTCAGAGTTGCCAATATTGGCCTCAATGGACCAAAGGTCTGACTAAATATAAGGTAGCTTCTTGTGTTCTTAGCTTTTTTTAATTCCATGAAGGACTATTTTTTTGCTCTCCAATTTTGCCGTTCGAGACATTTTAGCTTGCCCATAGATATGTTGGTGCTTCAACCTGCACCAAAAGATGGGAGGTATCCATTCTTTTATTATCATGCTTATTACTAATCTGTGTTTTGGTTATCACTCACTTGAATCCTGGTTATAGGCTATATTTGTTAGAAAACGATATAGTGGCCAAAATCCTAGTGCGTTTTCACACTAGTGACAGATGATGCAGATCTAAACAGTGACTGTAGCCCATGAAGACGTTGCAGTAGGCCCTTGCGGATGTTAGCCAATGTATACTCTGGGGGAGATGTTCTTCACTCATGGTCTGTGTATTTCTGTACTTGGTCGTGCAGGACGAGAAGATGTTCACTCCACGGATAATGGCATGCTAATGGCAAAACAAAAAATAGTATTGTTTTTGATAGGATTATTTGGCATGTTTGCTGGCATCATGCTGAGCCACTGAATATGGAGTAAAGACTGGTGTGAAGACAAAAAGGGAAATTTAGTGTTCATTAAGTAGAACATCTATTTAAGGATAATGCAAAAGGAAACATTGTGTAAAAATGGGCACAGAAGACTGGAAGACCTGGCTTCTATGCCTATAGATCTCCTGGCAGCCATTTTTCTGCCTCTAGCTGTCCTGCTAGGATGGAGGAGAAAGAAAAAGCAGGAAGTGACCTCAGAGCAAGGAGGAGTTCAAAATCTAAACTTGAGCTAGAAAAGATATGAGAGGGGAGAGACTTTGGTTTCTGCCTTTTCCATGTCGTCTACAATTAGGCCATGTTACCAGATTCGTAATCATTTATAACATGATTATGTTATCGTGTGAAAACTGAGACAAACTATTGCTGTGTCTAGCCTCATATTGCCTGCTCTGGCTGGCATCAGCTACCTCAAATACAAATCCTTCCAAAGACACTGAAAAACAATGTCTTTCAACATGACCTTCCAGGAAACTGGGAACCTTCTGCATGAACCATCTGGTCCATTTTAAGAACCAGGAAGCTCAACTTTGTGGATCTCAATACTCACAGTTCTTCTCACAAGGGGACCAGTGGGGAACACAGAGACACGTGCTCTTTTCACAACAAATTTGCAGTCATCAGAGATGAATCCATATATATTTTGCTGTCTCCATGGATGGTTCTCCTTCCCCACTGCAGATTAAGGTGCAGGTTTGGCTCCTTAGCTTGGCAACACGCATGAATATGGAGGTCCAAGCCACTCAGGGCCTTCCTCATTTAGGGTCAAAGGCCTTGAGCACATTGGACCTCTTGGTTAACACTAGGTTAATGTCATATACTAGTATACCACATGATGGAAGTTAATATCTCCCATGGCATAGAAATGCCTAAAAGCATCTCTCTTCATCGCCAGCCAGGGATGAGGACTTGAGTTGTTGTGGGTTTTTCGGGCTTCTTGGCCATGTTCTGAAGGTAGTTTTTCCTAACATTTCACCAGTCTCTGTGGCCGGCATCTTCAGAGGACAGCAAACTGTTTGC